GATACAGAAGAAATATATATATATATACTAGTTTCACGGCACGTGCGTTGCATGTGTGAATCGTATATATAGTATACAATGTTGTAAAATAGAATTAATATTACTAAATTAAATTTTTTTAGTAAACAATTATAATTTAAAGAACATAGGACAAGTGTTTTAAAATGATTAATACAGATTGTTATAGAGTAACTTGCATTTTGAGATCAAAATGATCAGATATTATTGAAATATTTCAAAATACATTCAAAGTTTAAATATGGGGAAAAAGTGACATCTCTTAAGTAGTAGTATTATTTATGAAAGTCATTGTTCATCGAAAAAATCACAATCTTTTGCAAAAGTCACAACTCATCGGAAAAGGCACAACCCTTCAGAAAAGTCACAACCCTTTGAAAAAATCACAACCTTTCGGGAAAGTCACAACTCATCGAAAATTTCAAACATAAAATTTTCTCAAATTAAAATGAACACAAAACAATATGAAAAAAATATATGGAAGGATATATAGCCAATGAAGAAGGAAGACGAAAATATATGTTCATGTTATATTCACTATAGAGTTCCATTTGATTAAAATATCTTGTCACCAACACTTTACTTTCTTCGTTCATTTTTACTTACATATCCATTAAAAATAATTATAATCATGTCTATATTATCATATTATAAGTAAAAGTGAAAATATGTTTTTGAAATAGTGGATTCAACATCAAAACAAATGATTCAATGGACTACATTGATGCTCGTTGTTTTAGCAAAATTAGAAAGAAACTGCTTCATTTAAGGGTAAAAAAATAAAAATAAAAAACCGAAGAAGAAATATCTTACCCAAATCATATGACTTTATTCATATTTGTTTATTATTATTATCTTTCCCACAACATTTCGTCACTGTTAACTCATGGAAATCATAAGAAAAAATACGAGTGTGAATTTATGTATGATTTTCTACAATTTGTTCACCAACTCTTTCCTATGTGGTACCTCGAATTTCTTTAAATTTTTAACTTAATCAACTGTTAAAATTAACCCTGAGATTTTTTAAGAAGAAGAAGAAGAGTAGAAAATTTTCAAATATCGTAGTTTAAAAGTGAGAGGGAACCCTCTATTTATAGCTAACAAATAGTAGTATTAATAGCTGCTAATTGTTCCTTGTCAGAAAAGTTACAACCTTTTGTAAAAGTCACTGCTCATCTGAAAAATCACAACCTTTTGCAAAAGTCACAACTCATCGAAAAAGGCACAACCCTTCGAAAAAGTCACAATCCTTTGAAAAATCACAACCTTTCGAAAAAGTCACAACTCATAGAAAATGTCAAACATAAAATTTTCTCAAATTAAAATGAACACAAAATAATAGGAAAAAGTTATATGGAACGATACATTGCCAATGAAGAAGGAAGATGAAAATATATGTTCATACTATATTAACTATAGAGTTCCATTTGATTAAAATCTCTTGTCTCCAACACTTTACTTTCTTCTTTCTTCGTTCATTTTTACTTACATATCTCTTAAAAAATAATTATTATCATGTCTATATTATCATATTATAAGTAAAAGTGAAAATCTATTTTTGAAATAGTGGATTTAACATCAAAACTAATGATTCAATGGACTACGTTGATGCTCGTTGTTCCAGCAAAATCAGAAAGAAACTACTTCATTTGAGGGTAAAAAAAATAAAAAATAAAAAACCAAAGAAGAAATATCTTGCTCAAATCATATTCATATTTGTTTATTATTATTGTCTTTACCACAACATTTCATCATTGTTAACTCATGGAAATCGTAAGAAAAAATACGAGTGTGAATTTATGAATGATTTGCTATAATTGTTCACCAACTCTTTCTTATGTGGTACCTCGAATTTCATTGAATTTTGAACTTAATCAACTATTACAAATAACCCTAAGATTTTTTAAGAAGAAGAAGAAGAGTAGAAAACTTTATAAATCGTAGTTTAAAAGTAAGAGGAAACCCTCTATTTATAGCTAACAAATAGTAGTATTAAGATGTGCTAATTGTTCCTTATCAGAAAAGTTACAACCTTTCGTAAAAGTCACTGCTCACCGGAAAAATCACAACCTTTTGCAAAAGTCACAACTCATCGGAAAAGGCACAACCCTTCGGAAAAGTCACAATCCTTTGAAAAAATCACAACCTTTCGAAAAAGTTACAACTCATCGAAAATGTCAAAACCCATCAAAAAAGTTGCAACCCTTTGGAAAAGTCACATCTCGTTGAGAAAATCACAATCCTTTAAGATGAAAGGGTATCTACATTTAATATAATACAAATAATTAAATTAATAAATGAAACAAATTGAGTATTTTTAATTGGAGGTATTATAGTAATTCAACATTCATTTTAGGAGTTCATGCTTTTAAGGTAGTATAGAATAAATATATATATATATATATATATATATATATATATTGTCCCTTGTTGTTGGCAAATGGTCTCTTATTTATAGCTGAGAAGTCGGACTTCAAATTCGGATTTCAAACTTTGAATAAGATTTCTTCACATGCCGGGTGTTCATTGGGCCCCTATATATATATATATATATATATGCACTTCACTATCGACTGACGATCGTGTAAATATAGGCATTAGAAATAGTTGAGTAGTCTTAGAGTTATCGGCATGATGCTCAATAAGTGATATTAACATGCAACTAGTAACACGATAAAAAATCAAAGTCAGTTCAAGTGATATTGCTCAACATGATTGAAGATTTCACAATTCTAGATCGATTTCATTCTTTGTTTGCATAAAAATATGATCTTTGTTTGGTTAATTGTTCATTAGTTATTTTCATTTTATTTTTAGTTTAGTTAATTAAAAATAATAACTTTGGGACTTACTGCTTTGAATAGATAATTAACATTAGTTAAACTTAATAAATATTGTAGTTAACTAATGGATACGATATTTGGACTTAACATCCGATTACTAATATGATCATGTGTATTTGTGTGCCCGTTTGGACACAACATCCCACTTTAACTTAATTCGTACGAAACTTATATCCAGCCGGGCAAAAGTTCGCTAGACTTGTGCCTAGAAAAATTAGATCATAAATAAGAATATTTTTGTCCACAATTTCCATTGAATGAGTAGTAGGAACGAAAAATTAAAAATTATATATGGGGTCAAAATTAAAAATCACTCCACAGGTGCAAAAAAATCTATTTTTAACGCCTTTTTATTTTCTTTTTTTTCTATAGGGAAAATAGTTGTATCTCCCTTTTCCAACCACTTTAGTTTTCTATGTGCAGAGTCCACTATAGACTTAACTTGAAATAGAAACACACTATCTTCTTTTATTACAGTCTATACAGAATATATATGGCTTTTCATGTCATGATATAGCTCAAACAATGTTTGGTAATCATATATATATATATATATATAAAAATAAAAAAAACCTAGGTCCGCTTACGTGGCGCCACCACAAACCACAATTCTCTTTTTATTTATTTATTTCCAAAACTAGTCTTCCCCTTTCATGAAAAATTGCGATTTTTATGAAAAGTTGCGACTTTAATGAAGAGTTGCGACTCTTATAAACAGTTGTGACTTTTATGAAAGGTTGTGACCTTTCCAAAGGGTTGCAACTTTTTCAAATAGTTGTAACCTTTCCGATAAGGCACAATAAACATTTGTTCACACTAACCTTTGTTGTTTATAAATAGAGGGATTTCCTCTCATTGTAAAACAACGAAAATTCTGAACTTCTTCTTCTTCTTCTTTTGCACAATTAAATATTCGTATACTTTGTTCCTGTTGAGTGGCTCACTGACACCATTGCTTATGTTACAGATCCTGGTATGTATATTTACAGTCATTAATTTATGCTCATGTTATTAAGGATAACTGATAAGATGTTATAATTTTTATTTTCCTTTACATTATTAATGTTTGTTACTTCGTAATCTTGTATGTAAAATAATATAGTGTTTTAGTTTTAATGACCGATAGGTTTTAAGTATTATTTTATAAATTTCGTATTATTAAATCCACGCGAAGCGCGGGTAATTTTACTAGTTATATATATACTGATACGATAGTAATATTCTCTTTGCGCCTTTCGTTACTCCTAAATATAAGTTCGATAATAACTGACTGAATACACTTAAATATAGTGATCTGCAGTGATAACAGCGCACATTGGAATAGGCAAGGTTTGACATTTAACTGAAAGAACTATACTATATACTTCTACAGAATCTACAACATCCAAAAAATATTCAACTAGAAAGAATTGAAGAATAAAAAGGGCACACAAGAAAACTAACTTTCTTCATCATCCAGAGGAAAAGAGTGTATAGACAGTTAATTTACCAACCGATTAAAAAAAGACTGGCAGAACCAGATGAATGAGAGTAAGTAAATCGTAGCACTATTTGAAACAAGGATTGTTGGTAAAATTTATACCTGCTGGTTACAACTTGAACTATGCTCCTTAATGGTGTTTTGCAGTGCTTTCTGAAGGAACTTAATGTAGAAACAATGATTATTCCTTAAACTAACTAACTAACTTCTTTTTTTGATTGACAAAGAAATGTTAACTAATTATTGAAAATCAAAGGCTCGCTGTATTCTCAGCCACCTTGCACTTTCACAATATCCTTCAATTATCAAGGTAATGGGTTTCCAATAATATTTTGTTACTGCCGGCTAATGCAATTGATCAGAAAGAAAAACAGAACAGTACTGGGCCTTCAACTGTTTTGAGTTATAGTTGCTTCTTGTTAGGAACCTTCCGTATAGATCATTGCAGAATAATTGAGTTTTCAATTCTGCTCTCCTGAACGAAAATTTGTTGTGGACATTGGTTTAGAGAGCTGGGTGGTGTGAGCATCCACTAATATGATTCATGAAAGTTGTAGGGTTCAGCCAAACATTTGATATACGAAGCTCAGATGATGACTGAAATTGCATAGTACTTGGTCCACCAAAGTAAACACCATCATAATGGTGCCTCAATGTCACGTTGCTGCCGGTTTCAACAACACATTTGGTTTTGCTTCTTCCGAAGACTGGTATTCTTGTCGCATGCCACACTGACTGCCATTTTCCATTCTTCCATCCTCAGCTATTCTTACAGTTCTGCTTTGTCGTCGCTTGCGCTTCCTCCATCTCGATCTGCTAATCTTCTTGGAAGCCAGTTCAGAGCCTAAGACATCACTTCTCTCCTGGAGGTGGTCATGCATGTTCAAAACCAATAAGATTCTACTCAAGCATTAAGACGACTATGCAAAGAAAAGGCAATATTTAGCATTATTCTCCCTCCATCCATCCTGGGAAACATGAAAAGGGAAGGAGATGATTTCTACTCTTTATTTATTTCTTTTCCTTTCTGTTATAACTACACAGTGACTGAAAAAGAGATGCTTGCCTTGGTCTTTGCATTTGACAAGTTCAAATCATATTTGGTGGGTACCAAAGTTATTGTTTACACTGTCCATGCAACTATTAGGTACCTATTCAACAAAAAGGATGTGAAACCGAGGCTTATTAGGTGGATCTTACTACTGCAAGAATTTGATCCGGAGATCAAGAATAGAAAAGGTACAAAGAATAAAATTGCAGACCAGTTATCCAGGTAAGAAAGTTCACTGCATGTGCGTGAAGAAGGGCAAATTCATTAGGAGTTCCCAGATGAGCAATTACTAGTCTAGTACACAATTCGAACTCTATGTACACACTTGCGAGTACTTATAGTTACAAGTGGAATTGTTTATTTGCTGGTCATAAGTCGTTTGGATTTGATAGTCCAACTCTTAAGAGTCACTATATTACTCATTTGACCACGAACACTTGTGTGTGCATTTGGACACAACATTGATGGAAAATATTTTATTCTAAATTCCTTAGAGACTAAAGATAAATATTGTGGAAAATATTTCTGGTGGCTTGTGATATTCCATTGCTTATGTGACACAATTTGAAAGAGGTTTCCAAAATAGTTTGAGAGCCTTGTATGAATACATTAAAAAGGAAAAATATGTGGCTACTGAAGAGTTAAGTTCTTCCATACAAGATTCATTTGAAGAGAATCTACGGAAATGAGGGATGTGACCTACCTCACCCAAAGAAACAAAAGAATGGTTCTCTTCAATTGAAGTTCCTACACTTCAAGCAAAATTGACGTTGAGATAGAAAAGAAAAAGGTACAACAACATACCTAGTGACCAGTGTAGTCCCACAAAATGGGGTCTAGGAAGATTAGAATATACGCAGACCTTACTCCTACCTCAAAGGTAGAGAAGTTGTTTCTGATAGACCCTCAACTCAAGGTAATTATTTAATGGTGACTATTGTAAATAGGTATTAGTGGGTAAAAAAATTAGGTCGAATAGCTATTCCTGCTAAAGTCTATACTTTTAATGGTAATTAAAATATGTGTTTTCCCCTTCTTCATTATGGTCTAATTTCCTTTTGCTCATATTTATTTTGCCCATTACTGATACCTCTTCCGTATTCACTATTTAGTTATTAGTAGATCTAGTTATTTGTTCGAATAAGGGCAGATATAGTTGTTTTGTGAATATTTGATCATAATCGGATTTAATTTGTAAGATCTAATTGATCCGATAAAATCAGATCTAATGTTAAGTATTTAGGAAATTAGATCAGTTTAAATCATCTTTTGATTTCAAAAATCCTAAAATCAAGAATCAAACTTCTAGTTTATTTCGTCATCTCTATTGTCATAGTGTTTCCATACCATATGATATCAAAACAACTTTATTCTTGGTACCATAACTTACATGTATCAGAGCTGTTTTATTCTTGTGTTGTTCATCATTAAGAGCCTGTTTGGATTGGCTTATTTTAAGTGGCTTTAAGCAAAATAACTATTAACCACTTTTAGAGTGTTTGCTTAAATCAAAAAAGTTCCTATAAGCCCTTAGCATAAGCTGAAATTTGATAAAAATAAGTCAATCCAAACAGGCTCTAAACAACATTTACAGAGCAACTTCACCTAGCAGCATCAATAGAAGCTAAGAGTTCTATCAACAAAGTTCCGACCAAGACAACTATGAGTCAAAGTGACGATTCCTCTCATTTATCATTTTAACTTACTTGTCACAAGTTGAATGGCAAGAATAATTTGGAATGGGCACGATCTGTCTGTTTGGTAATTGATGGTCAACGGAAACTTGGACACCTAACTAGATAGACAAGAAGGCCTTCACCAAGAGACCCGAAAATGAATGCATGGAGATCACAAAACTCAATGGTAATCGCTTGGCTATTAAACTCAATGGAACCTGCCACCATAGGTAAACCATATTTGTTTCTCCCCACTGTTAAGATGTTTGGGGAGCTGCTAGAGAGACTTACTCTGATGTAGCAAATGTTTGTCAGATTGTAGAAAGGAAGGCAGGGGGAGAGAGGTGTTATTACTATAATAAGATGGTTTCTATATGGAAAGAATTAGATAAATGTTATAATGATGAATGGGAGTGTCCTAAGGCTAGTGTTAGAATAGAATAGGAAAACACAATCCTACACAAACTAGAAATAGTTTATAGTCTCCTATTTGGTAAGGAATTGTATTATATAGTGTCTATAAATAGGGTTCTCTATGTAATTATTACAACAACAATTCAATAATATTCTTTCCTTATATTTCTCACATGGTATCAGAGCATTGGTGAGAAAAAAAAAAGTCAGAATCCGGTGACTGTCAACGGCTGGTTTGCATTGTTGTCTCGTTTTACAAGTGTAGTGCGACAACCCACACCACCATGAGGTGCAAAACACTCAGGCGAGCAAACCCCAGTGAGCTCCTCTGAGTTTCACCGAGTCACGCGCCCTCACGCGCCACCAGGAGTTCCAGGGTCGCGTCACCACACGCATCACTTGTCGGCGCGTGCGACACTTTCCAGCCAGTTTTTTCAACAAAATGGTGTAGCGGAAAGAAAGAATAGGCATCTCATTGAGACTGCTCGCACTCTCCTCATTGAATCCCATGTTCCGCTGCGTTTTTGGGGTGATACAGTCCTTTCATCTTGTTATTTAATTAATAGAATGCCCTCATCTTCTATTTCGAACCAGGTTCCACATTCCATACTATATCCACAGTCACATCTCTATTCTATCCCTCCTCGTGTATTTGGGAGCACATGATTTGTTCATAACTTAGCCCCAGGAAAAGATAAATTAGCCCCTCGTGCTCTTAAATGTGTCTTTCTTGGTTACTCTCGAGTTCAAAAAGGGTATCGTTGCTATTCACATGATCTCCGCCGATATTTTATGTTTGCCGATGTAACATTCTTTGAATCTCAACCTTACCACACATCTTCTGATCATCTTGATATCTCTGAGGTCTTACCCATACCTCAGGTCTTACCTGTACCAACTTTTGAGGGACCTACGGTATCTTCTCCATCTCCAGTTATAGTGCCACCACTCCTAACTTATCATCGACGTCCACGTCCAACAATAGTCTCATATGATTCATGTCATGCGTCGGACCCTGCTCCCACTGTGGCCTTGCCCCCTGCTAGCCAATCGATTGCACTTCAAAAAGGTATACGATCTACTCGAAATACTAATCCCCATTATACTTTCTTGAGTTTTCATCGTTTATCTTCACCCCATTATGCCTTTGTATCATCTTTGTCCTCTATTTCCATCCCTAAGACAACAGGAGGAGCACTTTCTCATTCTGGATGGAGGCAGGCTATGATTGATGAGATGTCTGCTTTACATTCGAGTGGTACTTGGGAACTTGTCTCCCTTCCTACAGGTAAGTCTACTGTTGGTTGTCGTTGGGTTTATGCGGTCAAAATTGGTCCAGATGGTCAAGTCGATCGGCTTAAGACTCGCCTTGTTGCTAAAGGGTATACTCAAATATTTGGGCTAGATTATAGTGACACTTTCGCTCCTGTGGCCAAAATAGCATCAGTCCGTCTTTTTCTATCTATGGCTGCCGTTCGTCATTGGCCTCTTCATCAGTTGGACATTAAGAATGCTTTTCTGCATGGTGATCTTGAGGAAGAATTCTATATGGAGCAACCACCTGGTTTTGTTGCTCAGGGGGAGTCTAGAAGCCTTGTATGTCGATTTCGTTGGTCACTATATGGTCTAAAACAGTCTCCTCGAGCTTGGTTTGGAAAGTTCAGCACAGTAATTCAGAAGTTTGGCATGACTCGTAGTGGCGCTGATCACTCTGTGTTTTATCGGCATTCAGCACCAAATCTATGTATTTATTTTGGTTGTTTACGTTGATGATATCGTTATCACCGGCAATGATCAAGTTGGTATCGCTAATTTGAAGCAGTATCTCTTTCAGCATTTCCAAACTAAAGACCTTGGCAGATTGAAGTATTTTCTTGGTATTGAGGTTGCTCAGTCTAGATCAGGTATTGTTATTTCTCAACGCAAGTATGTTTTAGACATTCTTGAGGAGACAAGAATGATGGGATGTAAACCCATTGACACTCCTATGGATCCGAATGTTAAACTCCTTCCAGGACAGGGGAGCAACTCAATAATCCTGAAAGGTATAGACGGTTGGTTGGAAAGTTGAATTACCTCACTATGGCTAGACCGGACATCTCTTTTCCTGTGAGTGTTGTTAGTCAGTTTATGACTTCTCCTTGTGATGGTCATTGGGATGCAGTTGTTCGTATTCTGCAATATATAAAGTCAGCTCCTGGTAAAGGACTACTCTTCGAGGATCAAGGCCATGAGCATATCACCGGATATATAGACGTTGATTGGGCAGGATCACCCTTTGATAGACGTTCTACATCCGGATATTGTGTTTTAGTTTGAGGTAATTTGATGGAAGAGTAAGAAACAAAGTGTGGTTGCTCGATCTAATGCAGAAGCAGAATATCGAGTAATGGTTGTAGCAACTTGTGAGCTGGTTTGGATCAAACAGTTGCTTGGAGAACTGAAGTTTGGAGAAACCGGTCATATGGAACTTGTGTGTGATAATCAAGCGGCCCTTCATATCGCATCAAATCCAGTGTTTCATGAGAGGACTAAGCACATTGAGATTGATTGTCACTTTGTAAGAGAAAAGATACTCTCAGGAGATATTGTTACCAAATTTGAAGTCAAATGATCAACTTGCAGATATCTTCACCAAGTCTCTTACCGGTCCTCGTATTAATTACATTTGTAACAAGCTAGGTACATATAATTTGTATGCACCAGCTTGAGGGGGAGTGTT